TCGTCCTTGCTGACTCTGCCTGGCTTCCGCCGCTCGGAGGCACCCGTTCTCGCGCTGAATGGGCCCCATCCATCCGGCCATGCGGGGCCCATGTTAGCCCATGTCGCATGGGAAAGGGTGGTGGGTGGTTTTGAAACATAGCCTTGGGCTCTTTGGGGTGATGGAGTCACTCTGAGAATCATGTTTTGGGCACAGTGCAGGCCTGCGGGCTTGGAATCAAGACGTTTTGTGCTTGGCCCAAGCTGTCAGGTTGGTTTTCGCTGATGCGAAGGGTGGCGACGGAAGGGTCGGACCCACCAGATGATTACAGCTGCGTGCTCGCACTCCAGTGGTGGCTGGCTGACTTTTCAGCCAGTCTTCCCTTTGAGCCTCTTGTTATAGAGTCATAGAGCATGAGGCTACATCTCCTTCACAATTTGGGAGACAAAGAAGGACTTCAACTTCTGGAGGAAAGGCCCAGCGTTCAAGGAGGCTCATGGTGGAGGAGGCATTATGGACCGGGCGCTGACATGCAAAGTTGTCCTTGGCACGTCTGACAGCGAGCCTGTTCCAGCTTTGGCCTGGCCTCGCGAGGACTTCCTTGGCATGATCGTGAGCGGCTTCATGACCAGCAAGGGTCCGCCAAAGCCCTTCTTCTGGGAAGGCGTGATGCGTGCGCGAGAGCGAGAGAGAGAGAGAGAGAGAGAGAGAGAGAGTCCTGAAGAAGGAAGAGGTACGTTTGTGCCTTCATCCCTCCACAGCCGTTGTCATAGTTCTTCTTTTTCTGTCCGTTTCTCTTTCATATGATATGTGTTTTTTCTTCTTGTTTTTCTCTTTTTTTTTTTCTCTCTCTCTCTCTCTGTCTCTCTGTCTCTCTCTGTCTCTGTCTCTTTTTCTCTCTCTGTTCCTTCCTTCCTTCCTTCCTTCCTTTCTTTTCTTTTCTTTTCTTGTCCTTCCTTCCTTTGCTTGTCCCTTTTCTTGTCTTTTTCCTCTCTTTCTTTTTCCTTTCTTTCTTTCGTAATCCGCTGACCTCCGTCTCTCTGTCTTGCAGGCCTGGCGCCGGTGGCCTCCGCCGACTCCCAGCGGCTGCTGTCTGGCCCGGGAGGTCGGCCCGAGGCGGATGGCAAGACTCTCTTGGACCCCGAGGCGCAAAGAGAGAGGAAGGGAAGGGAAGGGAAGGAGAGAGAGAAAGAGGGAGAGAGAAAGAGAGAAGAGATAGAGAGAGGGAGAGAGAGAGCGAGAGAAAGAGGAAGGCAACGAGAAAGAAGAGAAAAAGGTAGCCTCCCAGCAATTAACAGAAGGAACCCGGCGTTCGGGCGGTCCTTGGGCCATATTCCTTCAATCGCCAGGTCTTTGTGGCCACGAAGCGCTTCAATGTGGCCAAGGGCCGTGAGGAGGACAGCGGGTGAGCAGGTCCGAACGCTTAAAGGTACGTCAGCCAACAATGCATTCGTTGAGTGAGACATTCGTTCATAATTTGATTTGAGTATTAATTTGATTGGGTGCGTTTTGTTTTGCGTCTTCACTCCGTGTTCCCGCACAGACCTTAGGACTTCGAGAAGTTTTGGTCCGAGCGAGGAGACTCCCAGGCATGCGGTGGCATGGCTGTGCGGTGGCATGGCATAGGCCTCGTTGCAGGGCACTGGCTTTCGATTTTCCCAGCTCCTTCGACGAGACCAAGTCCCAGATGACAACTGTAACTACCTGGGCAGCCCAAGCTGCACACAGCCCGAAAGTTGCACACAGCTTGGCGGCAATGAGCTTGCAGGTGTGACTGTCTGGGATGACCGAGCGGCCTTTGCAACTTGACAGCAATCTTGCTTGGGCCAGGCTTGCTTGCACACTCAACAGCCTGAGTTGAGGAGAAATCAACTGGAATGGATGATGCTGGCAAGCACCTTACAAGCAGTCCAAGCAACGCACAGAGAAGCCGGGCAGTGCAATTGTGGAAGGGCGTCCGGGGCCAGCGGCCAGAGCATCCATGGACAAAAGTCTTCCTGATGACTATTGTGCCGACAGGAGATATGCTTGCGGGACAGCCGATGACACTCCTGTACGAAGGCAGCGTCAGCATATGTTTTTCTTGCTCGACAGCCCTGCTGCATGTCTCCTGCGAGGCAAGCTCGTGCTTGAAAGTGAGGCTGGGCCTTGAAGTTTGCTCAGGGCAGCTGGCAGCGAGGCTGCGCGTTTCAGCAATGTCCCGAAGGAGCCCCGCAACGCGTTGCGGGGCTCTTGTACAGACAGGTTCCACCTGGACTCATGCTTTGCACTAGCCGATTTAGATGACCGCTCAAGTGCAGTGGCAGAAGACTTGAAGCTCGAATCATGCTTGATTCAAGCGATGCCGCGGCGTCGGCCGCTGCACTCAAGTAACACGACTGCAGACCTTGAAACTTGGCATCTTTCAGCCCCGAGAAGAGAGAGAGAGAGAGAGAGAGAGGGAGTGAGCAAGCCTCAGGCGAGCCTATGCTCTGCAGAAGTGCACGGACAGCCGGGCTCCCACCGGTGTGGACGGGGTGCATATAAAGCATCAAGGACCGAATGACTCTACCAAAGTTATCTTTGATGCTTTGTATGCATTCAATCTTTTGTCTCTTTCAAAATGTCTGTCTTTCTTTCAAAGGATTGAATGTTTGTCTTTCTATCAAAATGATCTTTGGCTCTTTCAATCCTTCAGACATGCGCCAAGGCGTGGAGGCAACATCTTGGACGAGTGCGCTGCAGGCTGGACCTTGCAGCATGTCTCAGCTTTCCACGAAAGCTGGAGGCAGCTGGCAGCTTGATTAGAACCTAAGCAAAGGACAGAAGAGCCGAGGTCGTTCCTCCTCTCGCATGCCCATGCAACTGGGCAATGCCAAGGCCAGGCTAGTATTGAGGGATACTGGAATTGAAGAACACATGTCAATCCACATGTGCTCAGGTGCTTGAGGAAGACAAAATCAACAAGTGGACAAAGGAGCAGAGAGATGGCAGCTATGTCAGCTATGCCTCAACGTCTGAAATGTCCGTACAAGCTGCGCGCTGGCGCGCGCACCGAATCCGATAAAGTCTGTTTGGGGCCCTTGCCCCTTAGGACCTAGGCGCTGCTGGCGAGCAACTGGGGGCAGGCTGCGCTTCCACGCTGCACGCGCCTCAGTTGCTGTTTGGATTCCGACGCAGCCAAACGCCCCCCCAAAAACGGTTCGACTCTTGGGGCAGGAGTTGCGGACGCGCACAAGCGGCTCCAGAGGACTACTTGGCAGATGGCCAGGACTCGGATCGGATCTGGGCAGGTTACCTTTTTGTGCAGCCCCGTTCTGGTGTCTGTTGTTATATGGATGCCATTGCCAGGACGGTCACGCTATTGTGATGGACGCATGCGAGGGCCCAGCCTTTGTCGAGTACAAGGAGCTTTCAGCTTTGAGCTAGGGCGGAGGGTTCTCAGTTTTGTATACAAAGCATGCCTCAAACATGATTTGTATGTCAGCGTGGCGGGTGACCGGTGCAGCTGACAGTGCCACGTAAGGAAGACAAGGAGTTTGGCCTGCATCCTGGAGAGATGAACGACCCAGAATCTCGTCTAGGAAGAAAAGCTGCCTATGAGGGTCATGTTTCCGGTTTTGAGCCTAAGACTGCAGCCACCAGAGCATGTGACTCATTTTCAGAGCTGCATTTTGCTTGGATGTTAGGACTTTTAACTTTTTGCCAACGAATGGGTTTTCCATTAGACCACTAAAGTTAAACTTTTGGCAGGGGAGCAGAAAGCAACCGAGTATGTTGGTCAAGCTTGACCAAGGCTGCCAAGAAGAAAAGTATCTTGCGTGAGAAGGATGCAAGGTGCTCGAGGAACTTTTGCTCCAGAGCACAGTATTTTGCTGCTCCAAGGTCAGACGACGGAACGAAGTTGCCAAGCATGGCTAGAGTCAAGCGCAAAGCGCGTTTCACCCTGGTCCCGCAGCTCGCTGAATCGGCATGGTGCCAAAGTTGCCCGCTGTATCGCATACATTTGTCAGAAGCAGCTCTTTACAGGTTCGTGTTGGTACAAATAGGATACAGAAACCCCTTGGCTGTCCTGTGTCCTCCCTGCTTTTGCACCTGGAGACTTGCTGCGAGAGCAGAAAAATATCCGAGAGATCATGCGCAGACAAGGTTCGGCCAAATTTCCAGTAGTCTATAGTCAGCAGTCGGCTGAAGCCCGGCGGCAGCGCTGTGCCACGCAATTGGGGGCATCGCCATGTCAGTGTACAAGCTGTACGACTTCGGTGCCCTTCCACATCCCAGTAAGTCAGCGACCATGTCTAGGCACTGGTAAACTCGGAGACGTCCACTTGCATTGAAAAAGCATTTCCGGCCATGGGGGATTTGGCCGTGTATCGCAGCCATTAGCGCCGAAGCCGCTGCCCATGCTCGGTGCAACGAAGCCCAAACGTAGGGTCCATTTGGGGAGGGACGTGGGGGAACTCGCAAAAACAAAAAAACACAAAAAGCAGGGGACCGACTAAACCGTGACGTCCTCTTTTGGGGCGAGGGTAATGGGGCCGGGCGTGCCCTTCTCTGCCGCCTTTGCTTGTGGACTTCTTGGCCGTTTGGCTTCAGGGCTGGCAGGCAAATATGAGTAATTCTGTGCGGCACTTCCTTCGCCCGATCTAGCCGCAATGTAGCGGAACATGTCAGCAAGTGCGCGTGCTGTTATCCAAACACACCTTCTTTGCAAGGCAATGTCAGCGAATTCTTTGACACAACTTGAGTTAAAGCACTTGACCAGTTTTCGTCGTAGTCCACAGCCCAGCCGTTTTCAATCGTTCACAGTTGACAGGCCCCCATTTCGGAACCACAGAACTTGGTTCTTTTTTGGGGTTCGGCAAATCTGCGGGGTCCTTAGTCTGTTGTTTTGAACAGCTTGAACGCACACAAGACACACTTCACTCTTGCTCATGGCTTCAGCATGAGCGCCACAATGCTTTCGGCATAGACAAAGCTCTTGTAGAGCTGCTCTCCGTAGGTGTTCCTAGATGGCAGGCAGAGGACATGCCGCAGCAAGGAGGCGGGGACATTGCCAGATGCGACCCAAACACAAGTAGTGTAATTCCGGGGTGTGAAGAAAGACATGGGGCCAAAAGAGCCAAGCTCTAGTCAAGGATGGCTTTGTGGCCCCATGTGCAGGGTTTTTGTGCTCGTCAGTTTTGTGGACTCTAGTCATACACAACTGGTTCAAGTATCTTGTAGGTGCACCCTGGTAGCCTTGCCTAGCTCACTTTGCAGACATGGCATTCAGTGCTCGCTCCAAGAGTGTGCGCGGCCTGTTGCTGTTGGCACTTGGGCTTTGCGCTCTGACCTTTCAGTCTCTGGCTTTCACCAAGACGGAGGTGCCTGAAGCACAGGCCTCTGGCTTTACCGCAGTCATTGCAGACCACGCGCTGCTGATGTCCTTCGTGCTGATGGCGCTCTCTGGGGCAGTGACGCTCCTGGAAAACTCGACCACGCCAAACCCAGGGCCTGCGGAAAAGCGACCAGACTATGGCACCTTCCTCATGATGCAGAACCTGCTTTGCTTCACCTCAGGCTTCATCAATGCGTTGTGCATCATTGATATGGGTATGACTGTCTCCCACCAGAGCGGCAACACCAGCCACGCCGGCCGACTGATCATGAATGGCGGCGCCAAGTTCTTCCACCTGATGTGCGCCTTCTGCGCGGGCTCCTTCTTCGCGGGCTACAGCAAGAGCGACGTGGAGGCCGTGTACCAAGGCCGCTTCTCCCCGAACATGTTGGGCGCCGCCCTGGCGGTGGTCTTCGGGTGCATGATCCACTACTGCAAGGCTGAGAGCGGACACAACGACGCGGCTTCGGAGAGCCTGCTGCTCTTTGCCTTCTCCCAAGGCATCCAGAACGGCGTCACCCGAAGGTGCACCTCCCTGCCCATCTGCACCACGCACTTCACGGGCTACTTGACGGATGTGGGAACCGGCCTGGGGCTCTGGGCGCGCGCCATGGCCAATGGGGAGGCGCCGCCCACCCTGCTGAAGGTGCTGCTCTTCGCCGCGGGCATCTTGTTCTTCTTGCTGGGCGGCGTGGCTGCCAAGGAGACCCACGGCCCCTACGGCATGCAGGCGGCCCTGATCCCCGCCGCCATCATGGCCGCGGTGGCCGGCGGCTTGATCCCTGTCCCCAAGCCAGCCAAGGCCCAGACGGCATGATCCGGCCACTCCGGGCCGGTCTTATTAGCTTTTTCCCATTCGACAGTTGATGTGCCCCAGGGCATTTTAAGAACATTGGCAGTGTGAATGGAATTCTTCGGGAGGCACTCTGTGCTGCCTCTGGCGACGTGTGCCCAAGACCTGCCGAAGCGCCGATAAAAAATGCAAATTGCCAGCCAAGCTCCAGCTCGATGGAGCTTGTTTGCTTCAAATGCAATATTGTTGGGCTTTGCATTCAATCGCCGTTTCGGAGGGCGCGGCAGCCCTCAGCGGATGAGCAGGCAACGCAGCAGTTCTTGCAGCGCGCTCGGTTGGTTTCTGCCACAGTGGTCAAGAGAGCAAGACAAAAGGTTTCCCATTTTTTGTTGTAAAAGTCGCAGGTTCGCCATGCTTGTTTGCTCCAAAGACCTTGCTCATGCAAGGAAGGACTACCTCATCAGCAAAGGTCTGGATGAAGAGATGGAGGACGAGGCGCAAAAAATCGGTGCTCATTTGGGTGTGGCTCCAACTGAAGCAAGGGCAAACCGCAGGTTGCCGGTCTCTGGTTCCATGTACCAAGGTGCCACAGTGGTACATTTTCATTCAATGAGCCACGGGCATTTGAGACATTTGCGGCACAGGTGGTGCTCCCGGATCCGCATCCCACAGATTTTGCCTCAGAGATCAGAGGAAAAGCGACTCGCTGAACCGCTGAACCGCTCGCTCGGAGCCAGCAAGGTGCGGCACAGCGATGTGGGCAGCCTGAAGCACTCCAAGGACAGTTCGGTTGTCGCTTGTGACATCCTACGGGTCCTAACTCCTAACGCGTGGTTCTTGTTTCATGGCATGTTTTCTTGCCAGACATGTTTGTTAAGAGGTGCTCTTCTTTGTGCCTGTGCCCTGTTTCATGTCTTACAAGTTTCTATTCCAGACGGAACAATGAGACGACCCTGGCAGGCTTCCACCCGCTCCAAGGAGGGGGCAGCGGTCGTAATCAAGGAGCTCGGAGCTCTTTCATCGCTTTCAGCGCTTTGATGGGACGTTCACGTCTTGTGCCTAGGTCGGGCCAAGCCAAAGAATCCAGGCGCCCATGCAAAGAGTCCGGTGCGACTCCGACCGCATTCTTCTCGGGAACTGACTCGCCAGTACCCGGGATCCGCTGGACTTGGACAAGGAGAGGGCGCACTTTATGCAACAGGCCAGTGGCTCTCGGAAGTTGGAAGGGACTTCGAGACTGGACCCCAGGTGTGCGGCCCGCGGACGCGCCCTGACGTGCGCGCCTGGATCGAAAAGATTTGGACCACCAGCCAGGCGAAACGAGCGCCCTTGACGAGTTGAAAGTCGGGAGCCCTGTTGTGAGGCAGCCGCCGCCAATGAGAAGAAGAGGTCAGAAGGGGATGAGATTTAGAGACCAGATTCAACTTTGGGCCTGCATTGTGGCAGCAATTTGACACTTTGTCTGCAAAGCATTTGAGCACGCCAGAAAGCGGAAGTTGAGAACAAGCAGCGCTCCATCTGAGAGCGGTCTCTCTGGCATGCAGGGTCCCCAGTTGAGTAACCAGCAAAGCCGCTTGTTTTGCCCACGCTGTTCCAAGGACGGGATACACAGCCTACACTGGCCTGACTGGCACCACTGCCGGGTGCCTGGCAAGCCGGCAAGCCAAGCCAAGCCTTTGACGTGAGGCCACAGCGATTACGGCGCTGCACACGGTGGGAGGTGTGGCCAGAGATTGATACATTGATTTCCACTTATGTCCTTTGACAGGCAGCATCGCGGGGCGCAGTCACAGACCGCGATCAATGCAATCCGATGAAAGTCGCTGACCCAAGCATGGCAAGGGCATGATGGCTATGCAGAGCCAGTCCAGCGCATGCCCATGACTGGAACTCAGTTTCTGTGGTAAGGTTTGGTGGTGCACCACAGCAAGGGCGATGAGCCCTTGTCTGTCAAAGAAAGAGTGCAGGACTGACGCCACCATGTTGGTTGCCTGCATGAACTTGGAGTCTTGCTGCAAAGCATTGGGACGGAAAGTACGAGACTCTCAGTTCTTGACGTTGTGTGACTCGTTCGCAGGCCTTCCTCCAGAACCGCCTGCCCGAGCTCGCTGTCCACGTGGATGCGCACGTGGCAAACCTCACCGAAGAGCTGCGGAAGGAGGCGCTTCGAAGAATTCCTCTGCTTATTTCTGTTTCTTCGCATATTGGGTGTGGCTCAAAATTAAAGGGTGGCACTTACCAAGCTGCGATTTTGGTACATGTTTTTGAGCCACAGCCATATTTGCTCGTACATTTGCTGATCTTCTCAATGCGGTTGGATCCTTTAAGGCCAAGTAGTTGAGCACTTCCCCAACGAAACATTCTGCAAAGCCACCCTCAGGTTGACGAGGAAGTGGCCGAGAACTTCCTCAGGAGCGGCCAGTTTTTTTGGTCGTGCAGGGGCCCAGGCCCTGAGGGACTTGCGGGGGAATTTTGAGCTTGCGGCGTTGGTTAGGGTCAAGGCCTAAGCTCAGGCGGCATTTGATGTCCCCCTCGCTTTCGCAGCTTTTGAAAGGTGGTGAGGTCTAGGTGAAAGCCCTCGTTTCTGCTTGCACCGCTAGGACCGCATCCAATCACCGGGTCTTTGACGGACAAGCAAACTTCCTGCGGTGGAAGAATGTGCGACACAAGGCCGACGTCAGCCGACGTCAATAACAGGTCCAAGGCTCCAAGGGGCCGAAAACCAACGAGCCAACGGGAGGCGCTGCAAAAGCGCTTGGATACCAACATGCACAAGTGGATTCTGGAGGCGCGCACGTCACTCGTGTCACTACTCGCAGACAGCAATAAAGACACCTGGCTGAGGGCATTGAGGGTTGGGACCAGAAAGCAGCAGCCAAGCCGAAAGAGAATCTTCTCGTCCGGAACTCGAGTCCGTGAAGCCGAAGCTTTGAGCTGTTTTTGCTTGAGTATTTGTGCAGTATCTGAATTGTAGTTCCCCTGCATCTTTTTGCAGCTTGGCCGTTCAATGCCACACAGAGCAGTTTCTTTCAAATGCTGAGTGAAGAAAGAAACCACAATGCGAGAGTACGTAGTCATTTTTTGCATGTCGGAGTTTGGCACACCAAGGAAGCAGATGTGATATTTGAGTACCTCACGCCGTGGTCTCAATGCATGCCTGTCCATGTGGCTAACCCGATTCGGTGAATTTGAGGAAGCGTGCGGTTCATGATAACGGCAAGCTGCCAACCCAGATTCCTGCCACTCGGCACTCGAAGCACTCAACTCACGTGTTTTTGTTGAAGCGCTCCGCGTCTCCGATTCCCTTTTCCTTTTTTATTTTTGCGGTTTCGTTGGCCTGCGCGCCGTTCCGCCTTTCACAACGAGTCATTCAGTCCCCAAAATGGATATTTGTTTAACGGAAACATGGACTAAAACCTGCGGTCCAATTCCTGGTGGCTTAATTTCGATTTATACCAGGTGACAGAGACACTTTTTTGCCCACCTGCGCATGGCATTCCAGGTCATTCGCAAGATGCGGTATTCTTACAGCTTGTCGGGGGCCAGGGCGATTCGATTCGCATGCAACCTGAGAGAGGCCCAACCATGGCCTCATGTATCACATGTTTTGATTTATGTCCAAAAGGGGCTGGAGTTGCGGAGAAAGGAACAGGGACAATGGTCCAAGAGGCGGACGTCAGAGTCAAGTCAAGGAATTTTGTATTTGCACCGAGGCCTCAAACGTGGAAAGATAAGTTTAGTGCGCACTGACAGGCCCAAGGCCAGCGTCAGTCTCACTTGCATTTGGCATGAAGCAGTGGCAAAGCCATGGTTTCAAGTCCGTGCTTCCGGAGACGGAGACTTGCGCGCGCCTTCGTGCAGTGCCAGCCGTGTCGAAACCGTAGGGAGCAGACCTTGGTATTTCAGCCTGGCTTACACACAGCTGTTGCGGCATGCTTTATATGTATCTCAAGCTCCTTGTGCGGAGGGCGGCTGTCAAGAGGGCTGCAACCCCGGTGGCAAGCATCCAACTTTAGCTGCCTTATCCTTGTCAACATTTTGCTGTTGTCCTCCATTGTAGGAGGAGAGGACGGAAAGATTGCCGGGGTATGTATAGCACCTGGGGCCTGCTTGTGTTGACATGTGGGCCAGCGGGGACCCCAAGCCTGCATGCGCACAGAGGAGAGTCTGCAACAGGAAAGTAACATCCGGTGTCGCTGGCAGGGCCAATGCTGAAGATTTGTGCGTCCTTTGTCAACGGATTAGGTGGCCATGGGTCAAAATCCCCGTACCCCCAGTGAACATCCCAATCCCTACTAAAATAGACTAAAATGGGGGACCATTGGTTTTGACCCACGGCCAGGTTTCAGGACAGTTCCAACTCTATTTGCGGATGGAGCGCATGAGGTGTTCGCAGCTGCCGTGGTGATTTGCTTTCTTCTGCGATTCGCAGAGAAGGACTAGCGACCACATGAGCCACAACAAAACCGAGTAGATGAAGGTCGGTAAGGGAAAGACCTAGCCGGAAATAGTTGCGCCCGCCTGTCTAATTCTTTATATGGTTCTGGGTAGACCATTCTGATACCGGGTTTTGATTGTGTGCCTCTACCTCATTCCCACGGACTTGATGTTATGACAGCCCACGAAAAGCCTTGACCCAACCAATGCGCCGTGCAGGATGCCAGCTGGCGAGCCCGGCCTGTTTGCCTTATGGGTCGTGGCTGTCGTGCCAGAACGGCAGGCTGTCCTTCCTCACTTCTGTGGCCTGGCTCCTAGATGTTGCCATGACGTGACGGATCTAAGGCATCTCCTTGACGGGGCTCACATTGCTATGCGTAGGTGGTCCTTCCTTCTTGGCTCATTGCGTCGGAGGGATGACCGTGGCTAACGAGCAAGGCTGGGGTGACAATCGCCATCAGCGTGGTGGCGGTGATGCCATATGATGTATGGCGGGTAGCCCGGCTGCATTCCGCATTCCGGGTCAACCTGTAAATCTCCAGAGTTCCGCAAGAAATTGGAGGCCCAGCGGTCGGCTGACAGACTGACAGATGGTTTTTCTCGCCTCGAGGCAGTGGCGGTCCAGGATGCGGCCACTGACCCGCTGCTGCGCCGCAGCTGGGCTGCAACCTACTGGGCCACGATGCTGCTGAGCTACGTGCTCTGCCCAATCCTCATGGAGTTCGAGTCCTCAGGCGACTTCGCAGGGTTGCAACCCCACTGCGCGTAGTGGGGCCAACCATTTGGCAAGGTTCCGTCAGCAAATGCAGGTACAAGTGCAATGGCTTTCAAACAAGGAAGGCAGTGAACAAATACATGATGATTCACATGCTTGACACTATTTCTCAAATATTTGCTGACACTGCACAATTTGGATGCCGTTGGGTTCAGTGTGGCGCAGCTTTGCAGGAGACTTCACCGTGGCCGCGCGTCTACGCACCTCGTTGCGGCGGAATGCGGTTTTCTACGCGGCTTACGGCTTGATCATGGTCATCCTGTTGATCATCCTTATCGTCCGGGGCGAAGCTTGGCAAAGCACGTTGATTCTGTCGTTTGAGTCTCGCAGAACTGGGGCCGGATCAGGGGCCGGATCAGCCGGTCCTTGGAGATGAGCCTGTTCAAAAAGTTGTGGGGGACCTTGTTTTGGATGGTATATACGGTATATGGCTGCAAATTCTAACGGGGAACCTCAATAGTGGTTGGCGTCCATGTGTCCACCATTCCGGGTCCCCAATCAAAACCATTTCCATCTGCGAACATCATTCCCATGACGGGGACGCCCAGACTTTTCTTTTTTTTGCTGGAAGTCCGACCGCAGGAGGTGCAGGGGGACGTGCAAAGTTGGTGCATCGCAGCCTCCAACGCCTGGGGGATCTTCGTGCTCACCGTGCCTGGTGCATTTTGCTATGTGAGGACTTTGCCAACTCATGGGTTTTCCGTATTAAACCACTAATGTTAACCCCGATTAATAAACCTTTGGTTGATTAATAGGGGGGTGTCCCCTTTTGGTGGGGATTCATCACTTTTGGAGGGACCACCCCCTTAAAATGGGACGGGTTTACTAATCCTGGGCCAACATTCAAAGTTTGTTTTTTCAACTTTTCGCAGCAGAAAGCAGAACCGAGGTGCTGATGGGCTTCGGCCTCGTGGCCGTGCCCAGGCACTTCTGGAGCCTGGCGAAGCCCGAGAGCCTGCTGCAGGCCGTGGGAACCCGTCGGTCAGTCGGTCGAGTCCGTCGGGGAAAATATGGCCGTGGTGGTCAAAACCGTTTTGGGATCCCATTTTAGGTGAACTCACCACCCAGTTTAGAACCTATTTTAGTGGTTGGATTGGGATGTTCACTGGGGGTACGATTTTGATTTTGACCCATGTCCATATGCTTCGTTTTTCTGGAGGGGTTTGGACTGGCAACCGAGGGACACCCTCCATGCTTTTTTGGGGTCCCCTAAAAAGACAGGCACACCCATAAGAAAACAATTAGCCAGTTTTTGCCTGAAACCCAATCAGAAGGGACAGAAAGGAGACATCGCCCCTTGTTCTGTTTGATATGCAAACGGCGCCTACACCTCGGCCAGTCCGCTTTTGGCTGGCTTTGAGGTATATGCTGTGTTTTAGTTTGCCTTGAAGTGTTGTGTTTGTTAGAGTGAGCGAGTCGGCGCCGAAATCGGTTTCCAAGGGAGAGGGTGGGTGCATGTTCTCGAGTTTCCACGGCTTCACATTCAGAACGAGTAGAAGCAAAGCAAAGCCGCAATTTTGTAGGGAATGTTGACCGTTTGAAAGCAGAATGTGACCAGAGTTGGACTGGTCTTCAGAGAGGGCTTGATTGGTTTCTATGGGGAAATTTGACCGGTTTTCAGGGGGCTTTGGCCGAGTTGTTAGAGGAGATTTGAATGGTTCTAGAAGGGAATGTGACCGGTTTTATGGGGATCTGAGTTGGAGAGGGATGGTGTGTCGGGGGACTTGTTGGACCGGCTTTGAGGGATTTGATGATCGGCTATGGCAGAGAAGGTCGAGGCTTCCCGCCCCTGAGACCTGGCCGCTTTCAGCTGGAGCAGGGATTTTGGCCGTGCGACATGGGCTGGGGGGAGAGGTGCGGCATCGCTCCGGGTCTGGGGCCGAAGCGATTTGAACAAATGATGTCCACCACAGGGTGCCCCAACCATTTCTATACCTGAAGGTCAACGGGAAACATGATTCGCTGCTTCGCTTGTCACAGGACCTCTACCGAAATGCAGTGGTGAAGGATGATGCTCAGATGCATGTTCTCAAGCCTTTGTGTGGCGTCGGATCCGGTTGCGTTCCCTTGGGCCAAAGTGTTTTGATCGCCCGGTTTGGCCGTCGGTTTGGCCGTTTCCGGCTGAGGAGATCCGCCTGTCGCGGCTCTTTGAGCTGCAGGACACGGTGGCCCAGGCGCGCGCGGAGTTGGCCTCGGAGGCCGACGCGGGCGACGTGCTGGGCGCGGCTTGCGCCACGCTGTCCCACATGGCGGACCGCTGCGAGAGCCTCCACATGGAGCTCAGCGGCACACGCATCCGCGAGAAGTCGGGAGGACGGGGCCCGGGAAACAAAGCGGTTTTGCGTACGTTCACCGCCCTGGGCCATTTTTTCTTCAAGAGTGGCTCCACTTTGCATGGGCACGGGCAGAGACTTCTCAGTGCCTTGTTCCCTGCACAAACATGACTGAATGTGCAGGTGACGCAGGAGTTCTAATGGCTTTTTGATTTGGGTATGAGTCAAATTCAACCACCAAGGGCACCGCTCAATTTAGTCATGTCTTCCATTTAGCAGGGTTCCGTGTTGGGGTTTCCCTATTTTTGAGCCACAGCCATTTGGTCACAGCTTGTTGATTGGAGCCTTGACAGGCTTGCCTCGGCCCGCGTCTGGAAATCTGACGCTGCCTGCGCCCGCACCTCAGGGGACGAGAGCGGACTCGTCGCGCCGGTGAATTGGATGCGCCTTACTTTTTTTTGGGGGACACCCCTCCCCCTGCTAACTTTTCTTAAAGGATCTCAGGCGTCGCAGCAAGGCTCCCCCCTCCCAAAACGATGGTTTTCCTCTCGGCGTTCCCAACGCCAGTGGCTCAGCTTCGCCGTCGCTTCCTCGGAGCCAGGCCTTCGCTGACGCGCTTCGCGGAGGTGCACCGCTCTCTGAAGGCTGCGGCGCTGGAGGCGTGGTGAACATTGTCGGAGACTCGCAAGGCGAAGCGCCACAAAAGGTGGCTGTGGGTCAAAGCCGTTTTGGGATCCCATCTTGGGATAGGTGAACTCACCACCCAGTTTAGAACCTATTTTAGTGGGTGGATTGGGATGTTTACTGGGGGTACGGGGTTTTGACCCATGGCCAGGTCACAACCTATGCCTCCATTTTGGGGCAGATGAACGCCCATGTACCACCTATTTTGATGTTCACCGGTGGTACAGGGTCTTGACCCACAGCCAAAAGGTGGCTGGAAGGGCTACAAGATGGTTTGCGAATTTGAGTGAAGGGGGCCGTGGTTTTTGCGGGTGGCGCTCTTCGGAACTGACATGACCCACTTCGCGCAAAGAAACTTGCGCGTGAAAGCAGGCGCGCAGGGCATCGTGCTGCTTTGACAGCCACATCCAGCGCTGCATCTTTTTCGAGGAGAGATGGCAACCTGTTCAAAGCGAAAGGATAGCTTGCACAGAGGGAGGGTAAATGGGATCAACATGGGCAGCACATGCAACTCAGCTGACGAACAAGTTGCCAGGATCTAGAGCAGGGAGATCACAGGGCAGCCGTGCACATGCTGGGAAGGCTCGAACCAGTCGTGATGTTGCGCAATGTCTTGTTCTGTCTGGACACGGGCGTAAAATGCTCTTCAGGCGGATGTCATTGGGCGCAAGCCCTACAGTGTGGAGCTCGGGCTGCCAATCCTGCTTGGGAGAGCTCATCCGTCACGTCCGCCACGTGAGGGGCTGAAGTTTCGCCGAACGGTCCTGACCTTCTGGCTACGGCACGTTCGAGTGACCTCGACCAGTTGAGCCGCGACCATTGCAAGTGCGGCCAGCGTACGTGGCAGGCCCGAGCTCTGATGGGGCTTGGCTATGCAGCTTGGCTTTCAAGGAGTGCCTCCTGGGACGCGCTCATGTTCGGAAGCATTGGGAATGTGAACGATGGCACGTCATTTTGGCAGCTAAGGCGTCCACATTTCTGAGCGCGGTGGTGCCTAGCCTTCTTTGGAAGCACACGGGGTGTGCCATGCTATTGGCTCTCAGGTAGTGTTGGGTCAGCTTACACTTTTTGCTGATGGCTGGCATCTATCCTTGTGCTGCTGCCGGGTTTACGAGCATTGTCCAATTCTGGAAGCTTTTGCGTCTAGCTAAGGTCAAGGTGGTGGTTGGGGTCTCTTTCACAGGGCCCCTTTTTTCCAGCGTCAGGCAAGCTCTGCCAGGCTGTCCTTGTTCTTCCGACAAGACTATGGTCCTTGGATCACACAGGCGCTTGCTCTTCGCACGGGTGACACCTGGGGAAGCCCATGCGGGCTTGTTATTCGCGCCGACGCGCAGGCGTTGTGCGTGGTGCCGTTGGCTTACATGACCTACACTGCCTATTTCAGCGGCTCGGAAAGAGAGATGGGAAGTTGCATTGACGACAGACACCTGAAGAGAGCGAGAGAGAGAGAAAAACCGCAAAGCCGAGAGCGAAGTCTGCGAGGCATCTTTCGCTTGAAGATTTCCGGATGGTACGGCCGGCCCGACAGTTGCACATGGAATTTTGCAACATGTCCTCAACATTGCAGATGTGTTCAGAGACTCTGTGGCTGAGGTTTGTATGGGAACCACAACACGGACACGGGCAGCCTGCTTTGGCCATTGTCTCGTTTAGTTGCGCAGGGTTGGTGCCTCCTCAGATCGGCATGCTTTGAGTACTGCATTGATTTGGAGTAAAGAATCACTGTAAGAGAATTGGCTGGGCTGACAGTTCCATTTTCGGAAGCCAAAATGTGTCCAGCATCTAGGGCACCTGTTTGGATCAAGCCTTGACATATTTTTCTATCCGCAGCTTGGCACTTTTCGGCTCAGACTCGGCAGTGAGTGACTCGACAGTCTCGGCACTGCCGGCTCCATACTGCCACATGCCCCTAGGCTCATGCAATTCGTCTTTCCACGTAGCATGTGTGCTGCGTTGTTTCAAATCAAAATGCATTCCGCGCATCTTGCCTCTTGCCTCTTTTGTGACTTCACATTTGCATTTGCCAAGGAAAGCGGGGAGCTCGTGTGCACACGACTCCAGGCGCGAAATGTGGAGTCGGCTCCAGCATTTCTGTTCGATCGTTGGCCCAGGGACTGGTGCTCTCAGATCAATGGAGCTCGCTCCATTGGGGTGAGTAGCACGGGGCTGTGACTTGGCCAGTTTTATGCTCGACACGGCCATGAGTTCTCCTGGAGCCCCTTTTATTGCGCTTCAGTCTCACTGGTGCCGATGCAGATTTGGCCTCCAGCCAACCATCTCTCGGCCTCTCAGGTCAAGATCGAACATAGCAGCCAATCAGTCCGTGGTGTCGTCAGACTCGGCCGCAGGCTCAATACGCACTGCATTACGACTCACGACATGCTCTTGGGAGCTGGCCCGAGCGCGTTGCTTCTGAGCTAAGGGCTCCTATCAGGGAATGCCCATTGGGGAATATCAAGCAAAGAATTACTTGAAGGCTGGATGCGGTTTCTCTTTAAACGATCGATGTCGAGAAAATACGATGCATCGATGGTTGGCTGTTTGGAGCATTGGATTTTGCAGGACCTTAAAGTCTTCAGTGACTCCTTCAACGAGCCTTTGAGCGTGGCAAGGGAGTGCATGAGCCAGGTGAGGTCGGGTTCGGAATGGTTCGGACTCGTTTGTCGGTGTGGCTTCGCGTTCTTTGTATTCACACCGGCTGAATTGGGTCCTTTTTTACTCATTTTTGGGTGGTTTCAAAAAGCAAGAAAAGGAAATACCGCCACCAGAGCTGCTTTCGAATGAGGTGGATGCGGACCTCTTGGCAGCACTCAATCTGACACAATCTCAGGCGCACGTGCCGTTGGCGCAAGCACTGGCTGCCTGTTTTCACCCTGGCAGGCAAATGATCTCATTGCTTCAGCTCAGATGGTGACCTGGAAACTTTCAGCCACCGCATGCAATAGTCTTGTGACTTAGTTGCACTAGTGACCCGTCGATTTTTCGAGCGCTTGGAGTTCCTTTGGCTGGAGTTCCTTTGGTTGGGACCAACTCACCAGCGGCTTGTCTCGGCTTGGGCTTCAGATCCCCGAGGAGTTGCTTCCCACTCTTCTGTGGGCGGCGTCGCTTGGCACCCGTGAAGACTTCAGCGAGATGCGCCAGAACCCGCCACCCTGAGCTCTAAAACTTAATCAGTTCAAGGGGAAGAAGGAGATTGTTGGTGGGCAGGGCGAGCCCAAGACAAGGGAGCCAGTCATGCAGTCATGCGCCGCCGGCAGCTATTTTTCGGACAGGAGCGTCCAGGCTTGAGGCTGACGGCAACTAGCTTGTGCGCGCCAACACGCTGCTTTCACTGAGGAGAGGTCACGGTGAAGAAAGAGACGTGGTTAGTCCTGTTTCGGAAGATTCTTAGATGCAACAGCAGTAGCACTGCATGATGAGTGACAACTGAGACTTGCCGAATTGCCAGCAGATCCATGCAACGTGTCGCTTCGTGCTCCTGCGAGTGCCAGTGCGGCACCCCAAGGTGCATAGCAGCATTACTGCCATGCGCAAGGAAGCGCAGACCGTGCGTACCAGCTACATCGAGTTGCTCAACCAGGCACGTGAGAGAGGTGAATTGGGCGCCGAGAACACCGAGCCGCTTCCGCAGACGGGCACCGAAAAACAGATGGCTGTGGGTCAGAAATAGGGTAACCCCAGAATGGAATCCGGTAAATGGAAACATGGACGTAAACCTGCGGTCCCCTGGTGGTTTAATTTGACCCATACCCAGATCTTGAAACGACCGCCTTGCCTTTTTTTGTTTTTGTTTTCTTCTCCGGCTTCGTGCATGTCACGCCCTGTCAGGTGCGATACCTGGGCCAGTGCAACTCGGCGGATCTCTTTTCCGGTCGAAGCGTCCCGAGTCTCGAGCATCCGAGGCACGCAGGTGACACTGGACCAAATCATCATAGCGTCCTTGCCCGTAGGCGATCTCCGCGTCGGGATATCTCATTCTGCGCGTGGTCTTTTGTTTGAATGAACTCCCCTTGGTGGTGAAACGGAAGCCGAAAGGAGAACCGAAACCCAGGTCCTTGCATCGGTCGCAGGCGACTTCGAGGTGAAGCCGGTGAAGTCGTCGCACAAAACGGTGCAGACGCACAGCGAGTACCTTGACGAGTTGTCAAGCGGGTCCAATTTTTAGAGTGGACCTCCCAAATGGATTTCGGTTTTCCCGTTCGCTTTATTTCAGAACCACACAAAACGTGTACCAACTCAAGAACAAAGAGGCCCAAACTCTCTTGGCGGGCTGCAATGGGGTAAATTCGATGCGGAAATGAGGAAAGCAGACAAAGTCCTTTGCATTTGCTGGAGATTGACATATTTCTTCAGGGAGCTTGCAATCAAGATCCACGGGGGATGCAAATATAAGTCTAATCAGTCCAATGTATTGCTTCAGGTTGAATGAGCATTTCAGGGGCTCGCTATTTCAGAGATTGCAAGCCTGCCTACCCACAACCCCCCCCCCCCCCCCCGCAAATAGGATGTGGCATGGTCCAGGGCAAGCAGGCTGCAGAAACCAGTTTCTGCCAGAAGGATGCAGGCAAGAGTCAAGCCATGCATGCACCTGGACCACAAATCATTGGGGGCAAACGCCTTCCCGGGTTCAAAGCACATGTGGCTGCGCGTCAAAACCAATGGGATCCCATTTTGGGGTAGGTGCACCATCCATTTTAGAACCCATTTTAGTGGGGATTGGGATGTTCACTGGGGGTACGATTTGGATTTTGACCCATGGCCATGTGGCAACAATCTAAAGCTTTTGGCGCAGCCCGCTCAGCTTGCAACAACTTGCAAGCACGGAAGAGCAGTATCCTTCCAAACGCAGCGCGTGTTTTTTTTTGGCTGCCCCGCTGCCACACGAAAATCGAGGCTCGTCTGTTGCCATCTCAGGAAATGCCTGGAGCTGGCCCTTGTGCACCTGGATGGGGTTTGCATGACATTGGAGGACGCATTCGCGAGCCGTGCTACGTGTCGCCGGCGCGGCAGGTCCTCTGTAGAAAGTTCATTTTTTGGGTTTTCCGAGATCAAATTGTCAACGCTGCGCGTGGCCAAAAGCTGTGGCCAGTCCGCTTTTGGCTGGGTTTGCGGTATATGCTGTGTTCTAGTTTGTCTTGAAGTGTGGCGTTTGTTAGCGTGAGTTGTCCACGCGTTTCCACATGGCTTCAAGGGCCAGAATCAGAGCCGCAGAAAACTACAGAATGGCAGTGGGCTTGAAATTCCAGGGAGTTGGACGAATGGAGAGGAATTTGGCCCTTTTTAAGGGGAATTTAGGGGAATGACTGGAGTTGAACTGGTTTTTGGAGGGGATTTGACGGGTTTCTCGAGGATAGTTTGACCACTTCTATAGCTTAAGGGGGGATTTGACTGGTTTCTGAGTTTGACTGGTTTTAAGGGGTTCGACTGATCGGCGTTGGACCAGATCTCAAGAGGGGATTTGATCGGTTTCGGGGAAGCTGACCGGTTCTAGATGGTTTGACCGGCTCTGGCAGCTGGAAGGGATGGGTCTGGGTGTGATGTTGTGGGCTTTTGCGCCCATTGCAAGTCACCCTGAATCAGCTTACACGTGCAACCCAAGACTTTGCAATTCTTGGCTCAGCTGGCAAGGAGTGCTCAGATTTCTGGCTGATGCTGCACAGTGCCGAGCTTCAGCTCCGAAAAATCGAGAAGGAGGCCGGTCGCGGAAGGACCAGAGGTCCTTGCAGGTCGCAGGTTGGTTGCTGAGGCCAGGCCCAGGCTGTGTGTTTGTTGGTGCACACGAGATATTGCCGAAGCCTCCACGTGCCTGCGAGGCTCAACAAGTCAGCAGCGCACGCTTAGACGCGGAAGGCACGCCGAGAGTTGTTTTTGTTGGAAGGGAGAACAGGAAAGCACATGCCATTCTATATACCGTATAGCTTCTACACGCAACATTGCCACAGACTGCAAGACACGTATTGTTCTCTTGCCAGGCGCTACCATGCATAGCTTTTGCGAAAGACTGCGCGACTTCTGCAAGGTGCGACGTGAGTTTGGAGTGGGCTGCAAGTTTGCATTTTTGGGAGATCAGCATTTTCGCCACTTTGCTGCTTGGTGTGCAGCCTCCTCAGTCGCCACCTCTGAGCCTTGATGGCTGGCAGTCTGCCAGGAGCACTGCGGTGTGCCGCCCGTTAGCTTCCCCATTGTCAACCCGCTCGCTGGCATTGGTTTGCAGGCGGGCTCGACAAACATCCTTCGGAACCTACTCGCGGCTTTTTTGCGTGCTGCCACACTGCCAACTGCCAAGGTGTCAGATCGGGTCGTCGCATAGCCGGGAGACTCAGACGGAACACGTCAGAGTCACCGCGCTTTTGCCCGCGTCGCGTGCAGCACAGCTGCCTGAGAGAAACGACTCAAATTTTGTTTCTTCTCCGGAGTCTCCGTGTCTCCAGGTTTTTCAGGTTGATCTTGACCACATGTCACTCAGAGTTGGGGACGAGGAGGTGCCAAACAAACGCGGCGACACAAGAAGCATCTCAAAGCTGTTTCTTCGGTCACCAAGGTCAATATTCTGTCCTGAGCTCTGGAAACTTGCGCCTACCACGGCCTCACCGAAGTTCTTGTGCACCCAGGTTGAGCTCTCCTGATACGGAGGGCTGTCTCACAAAGCAGCACCCAGTTACAAGTTTTCAGGGAGTTCTGGAAAGAGGCCGCGTCTCGGGAAAGAGGTATGCCGTTATGCCACGTTTTCTTGTTTGCTGGCGTGCCTTACCCGAGCTTTTGTTTTGCATTTTCTGAGACTCTTGGTCTTGGAGGCCGGGATGTTGAACAAATAAAGACACGAAGCGAACTGGACTTGATCAGTTTTGGCGTGCTGCTCATTTCCAGCGAGCCCCGCTCGGAAAAATGTTTCAACACAGCGGCGGGTTCTTTGAAGTAGGCTGCTGGAGCGAGCAGAGTCAGGTTTGTTGGCATGAGGCCCATTTTCAGATGGGTATGGGTCACAATTAAACCAACAGGGGACCGCAGGTTTTAGTCCTTGGTTCCATTTACCAGGGCTCCCTTGGGGGGTACCTATTTTTGAAGTCACGTGCTTTTTTTTGTTTCGGCGCCAGCAGTGCTCAGACTGACGGGCATGCAATCCCTGTGGTGGAGGCTTGTCAGCTCGACGACGCTTTTTGTGCGTCCAATGTGCATGGCGTAATTTTGTTGCTTGGGTGCCGCGGACTAGGTTGTGCCACTACATGCGTGGCACTTGCCCAGCCTCTTCTAGATATTGTGTTTCCTACCAAGACCAGGGAGTCAATTTCCAAGAAGGATGAGACTGATCTCAGACACGTATGGCTTTCAACACTCGATGGACGGGACGCATGAGCCGATGCCCATTGGTTGCCATGCGAAACAGAGAGACGAGTTGAGACGAGCAACCGGCAGCGTTTGCCAGTCCTGAACACTTCATCCTGTGTGTCCCAGACTCCGTCAGCATTCGCACGTGCTCGTTCGGGGCTTTGGGGCTTTTGGCTTTGGCGTCCCGGCCCTGGCCCTGACATTCTAAGGGATGCGCTTTTAAAGCAACTTCACACAGGGCTGGTTGCCGGACATTCCAGAACGCTCGCATGTACAGCTGCTGCTATAGTTGGCAGCGAGCGCGATCGATCGAAGCTTTTCGATCCGGGGCGGCCTGCTCGCGCGGGCCGACTCTCGAATCTGTCTCAAGGCAAGGGCTTTGGTGTGGCTCCGGAAATGGACCGCCAAGGTTCACTGCTGAATGCACGTTGAGTTTTATGGACGGGCACCTTTCGCGGACTGTGCCGTCCACATGGAGGCGCTATTCACTCGACGCATCACTTCCTGGCGCAGTCTTTGCTCAAGACGATGTTGAAAGGTGTGAAGCCAGCGAAGGGATGCACCCAGATTTTGTGCTTTTAGCTTGCATTTTCCCTCAGCTATTCAACACGACAAAGGCTCTAATTTGGAGCAGCGCAGAGTATTCGCCCTGTTTTCTCCAGCCATTGATTTCGGCCTTTTAGTGGTTTTCGATCCCCAGGATGATCAATTGTCTCATTGGGCTTCCAGCGGTTTTGCAACGTCACCACGTTTTCCGTGTGTTAGCCAAGCACTACAACCAATTATCATGTCGTGTGAAAGCCTGATTGATTGGCTTGAGTGAGCAGCCCGTGGGCAGAGGATCGTGGGCGCAGTTTCCTTCTGGCATTGTGTCCCTTTCGACCCAAGCGCGGTGCAACGTACCTTGCAGCATTCCAAAACAGCGGAGGCCGGTCGAAGTCGGGACACGTGCTGGCAAAAAGCCTCACACTCTGTTCACAGGCCGATGTGTCACACAGGTGTCTTAGATGGCCGCTTCAAACTGGGCGCAAGTTGTGGAATCAAACCGAGACTCAACAAGACTCCGTTGCACCTTAGCGACCATCTAAGTCAAGGCAGCAGCTGAGCAGTTGTGTGCCAGCCTCGCGTCGGCTAGGCCTAACTCCATCTCTGATGTGCGGATCGGTGAAGATTGTACCGTTGACTCCTTGACTTCTTTCCCATTCTCTACTTTGTATTCGATTTTTCATTGATTTCGACTTTCCGCTTTGACCTTCCAGCTGTCTCATGTTTTGCAGGCCTGATACTGTTTTCGCCTTGTTCTTCGGAGGCGAAGGAACCGACATCCCATGGTACCACACGCATTTGGGTATGGGTCAAAATTCAGCCACCAGGGAACCGCAGGTTTTAGGCCATGTTTCCATTTGCCGCAATTCCATTTGGGGTACCAATGTGTGAGCCACGGCCGTTTTTCTTTGGTCAAGTTTCTGTCACGATGTGCCTTTCGTCAAGGTGCGCCTCCATCCTGGCTCGCCTCGCAGCGCAGAGCTCGACGAAGCAAGGTGAGTCACAATCAAAACCCGGGGAAGTGAAGGGTAGGGGCCAATCCCAACCATAGCTGTTAATCCTTTACATGGTTCTGGGTCGACCATTTTAATACCGGGTTTTGATTATGACTCAGGTGTGTTTTGCACTCCAAGCAGAGCAACGCACTCGAAACCACACGTTTGGCAACACATCGACCAAAATGACAATTCACGGGTGCAGACGGCACAACCAACCAACCAACCGACCGACCAACCAACCGACCGACCGACCGACCGCCCAACCGACCAACTGACCCAGCCAAACGGCGTGCGTACAGCTTACCTGCATCCCTTTCCCCATATGAGTGGTTGCATTCAGGCAAAGACGTAGGCCCGCATGACATCCTCGTTGCCCAGGCTCCTTTGTGCTACCACTTCCTTTTGCTGATCCGAGTCAAGGGCACGACGTTTCAGGCCCCAGTGAACGAAGTGAAGTGGCAAGTTGCCATGCAATTGTCCGCAGGCTTTCATGGGACAGATGAACATCGTGCCTGTGCTGGGTGAGTCTTTCAACCAGGTCAGACTGCGCCGAACCACGGCCAGTGGAACAGCTTTGAAGATTGCTGCCTGCAGGTTTTCCCTTGCATGATCGCTTTGCTGTGCTGCTGCAACGTCTTCAACGTGCGCCTAGCAGCCATTTGGAACCCAATCAATGTTGACAGACGTGACAGAGCAACATGCACTTGAGGGCGGGATGCAGATGTAGCAAGATTAGCAGCGCTAGGTTGAGCTGGCTTTTGCCCGGCTCTTTTTGGCAGGTATACTCTCGCTGTTTGCAGTTCTTCACCTTGGGGGTGATGGAGTGCGCCGGGGTTGTGGCTAGTGAGCGCTTTGCCCACTGACCTAGATGTGAATGCGTTGAAGGTAGGACGGTAGGAGGATGATGTCGCCGCAATGTGTTTGCTGTCTCTTAGCAATCAGAAGAGTCTGCCGCTTGCGCAGGTTTGAGTTGGGGGAGGGCTCAAATGGAGACGATCCGTACTTGCCTCGGTTTGGGAGGGCCATACATGATCTAGTTCCAAAGGAGGGTCAGTGCCCGGATGCGTTGTTTTGCAACCAGTTGCGGGAAGCTGTCTATGGTTGGCTTCCAATGTTCGCCTGAACACCTTGCTTGCTGTCTAGGCTGAGTGATGGAAAGCAGCTGGTTGATCAAGAGAGGAGACGGCGTGCAGAGGTGCCTGGCGCATTGTGACGATGTGTCTTGCCATTGGACAGCGAATGTGTTGACCCCATATTTATCAAACCCAGGTTTATGAATAGGGGGTTGTCCCTAAAATCATCACTTTTGGAGGGGAAGACCTCCCTATTAACAAACTGGGGTTGAATAATACGGGGTCAACACAAATCTGTTCAATTGTCCTGCATTCTACACGTGCCATCTCTGCGTCCGTGCCGCAAGTCTTTGAGGACGATGTAGAGCTCCAAGGCAGATCTGCTCCCTTCTTCGCTGCGGGGACCCAAGGTGCACTTTAGTCATTGGTCATCGGAGCGAATTGCGGGAAGCTGCAAAAGCCTCGGGAGACCTCAGCACGCTTTCTGTCTGCAAAACGAGCTTTTCCCTTCCCTATCATCCTTTCCTTTTAATGTCGGGGTTTCTCGCCCTCTCGGCTCTCTGGCTAGGCAGCGCCAGCTGGATGAGCTTAGATTCAACGAAGAGTCGGGCTGGCCTGCGCAAAAGACGCCTGTGTGTTTATTCTGTGTGTTGATTCGCCTTTCTTGCTTGAACCAACAGCTTGCTTCCTCCTTAGGCGTCTTAGAGCTGAAATGGAATGTGGTGCGAGAGGACAGGTTGGAGTGAGGCTGCGAGATGAGATTCCAACTTGATTAGCACTGACGCATCCCCATGCATTTCTGAAATCTTTGCGATGTCGCCTTGGCCAATGGGTCAAGGTAGCCCTTGGGGCCAAGACTGCAAACAATGCTCACCGGAGAAATGCAGCAGCATTTCTCGCTTGAAAGCCCTTGAAGGTAAAGCTGACCAGCTTTGACTTGATGGAGCCAGGGGCTGCACTGGACTTTGCAGCATGCACCTATCGCTGTTTTGCGAGCTTTGCCTTGGCTTGATCCATGACAGATGCATCTTGCCGCTGCCAATTCTTGCTGAATCATAGTTCAAAAAGAGATGTTTTCATCACGCGTCCTGGCCTTACCTGACACTTGCCACGAGGTGGTAGATATGGCTGTGGGTCAAAACCAATGGTACCACTTTGGGGTGGGTGCACCACCCATTTTAGTCTATTTTAGTGGGGATTGGGATGTTCACTAGGGGGTACGAGATTTTGACCCAAGGTAGATATCCGGAGAATCTGCAAATACACTCTTTGAGCCTCATCTCAGATTTCTCCTTTCGCTTGCGCGCCAGGCTCGGTAGCTGTGGCGGCCACAAAGTGGCGAGGCCCGTCGACGAAGAGCTCGGAGGCGAGCACGGCTCACTCGGACATGGGCATGGGTCACAATGACACCACCAGAAGACCGCAGGTTTTAGTCCTTGGTTCCATTTGCCAGGGTTTCATTTTGGGGTTTCCCTATTTTTGATCCACAGCCACATCGATTGTGAACGGTAAACGTTCGTTTTCTGTGAGTCCTACGAGCAGAGTGTACGGCGTCCGGTCATTTGCGAGGGAAGACGGTGGATGCACCGCAGAGCACGCTTCCGCGATGACCTGGGCCTGAATTGCAGGCACGGAACACACATGGCTGTGGCCAAAAAAAAAAACGGTACCCAAATGGCTTGCCCTGGTAAGTGGAAACATGGACCAAAACCTGCAGTTTGCCCCAGCTGTTTCATTTTGAGCCACATCATAAGACATCTCCCGACATCTCCTGACACGTTTCGAAGAGCTGTTTGGCTCGGTGTCAGGCAGCTTTGCATCTCTGGTTCAGCCCCAGCGCTGCAGGCTTTGAATTTCTGTGAGGGCTTGTGCAGTCAGGCATACATCAACGTTAATTAGTACGCATTGCTTCCTGCCAGGTGGGTGGCTCAAGCAGAGCATCCACCCCAGCTAAGGCGAAGAGGCGGAGAGCAACAGAGGTTCCCTTTTGGCAAAACTTGTCGATTCGAGCTTTCTTCCCAGGGGGCACGCTTGTGTTCAGAAGCCAGCGGTGACTCGCAGGCGGAGCGGTGCCGCGCATGCAGGGCTAGTGGGTCAGCTCTCGTCCACTTTTGCCGTGTCTTGGCCGAGATTAAGTCTGGTCAAGCTCTTTGGCATCAGCTGGAAGAGGGTTGGCTTGGCTGCAATGAGGCTCCACTTGAGGAGTGCTCCACTCTAGACGCTTGGCTTGCAAGCGCGATTTCCTCGCGTTGTTGCAACTTGTTTCCTCAAGTGAGAATGCGACATTCTGCCGTCATGCCAGGGGTTCTTGGAATATGTTGGCATCAAGACTCACTTGGTGCGAAGCTACTTCTTTCATCCCAGCGGAGCGCTGCGAATGGACGGATTGCACCCGCGACCGAGGAGAACCTGCACCGCGTGGCGCTGCAGATCTCCGGGCGCCTCTCCTCGCACCGCCTGGCCTTTGCGGCGCTGGTGGCCGCCGTGAGCGGCCGATGCGCCTCAATGCTACGACGGGGGTGGTGCCTCAGCGAAGTCGGAAGTAGCTGAGTCAAGCGGGAGGGGATGGAAAGTGAGAGGTCAGGTCCAAAGGCTCTTTGAAGTTCCCACGTCGGTGGCTTCCGGGAGGACTCTTTGAAGCATTCAGACGCATTGGCATTGGGAGAGGTCTATGGAGGAGGCTGCGGATGCCATGCCGCTGCTTGCGGACCTTTGGCATGCCGGGCTTCTGCCGCTCAGCCGACCCCGGCGGACGTCCGAGTTTCGCTCGGATGTCCGAGTTGAGAAGCTGGGTGGCGGGCCGGCCGTGCTTTTTTTTGCACCCTTGGACCGGGTGGCTGCATTTTTGTTCACTGGGTGGCTGGTTGGTTTGTAATGGGACCGCCAACGTCCGTGTGCACAGCATTGGTATCAATCTCAGAAACAGTTTTGGAGATACCCAACCCAAAGGGGAAGCCTCCGAATCAAGGGACTTCTTACTGGCGCCAAAAACATGGCAGAACCCAGCCCCAATCAAATGCATTGATTCGAAGTCCATTGGAAAATGCAAGAAGGATTCCCGCTTGCCATGCTCCCGCTCAAGGTATGTGCCCGGTGACACCGCGCGAACCGCAGTGGCTTCAGCGCTGGCGACTTTAGTATCCGGAGGCAAGTTTCCATGCGGTGCTATGCACACACAAGGGCTTAAGTGCTTATGAACATCTTGCCGGCTTGTCCATAGCAAATCCCGATGCAGGTTTGTTACATTGTTCCAGTGGCTTCGGAGCTCGGGCTGGGAGAACTTTGCCAGGGCGAAAGGAGACGCCCCCAGGGTCTGCCCTGGGGTTCTCCAGACCTTCGTCCACTGGCAGTGGAGTCCCGGCGCGGGAGACCATGGAGCAGCGACTCAGAAGATGGTGCCGCTCTGGCGAGCTCTTCGAATCGGCGCGGCGCTTGGGAGCCGAATCCGGATTCGTGGCAGAGGTGGAGGGAGAGTCGCGATGTTTGGTTGAGGCTGCGTCTATGGAGCTCCTCACAAGGGAGGGGGCAGCCTTGGTGGAGGCGTCGGCTGCCCTGGAATTGAAGCAATTCAAGGGATCTCAGGAAGCTGATCACAGCTCTCCGATCGTCAGGAACAGCTCTACGAGGAGCTGAAGCGTACCTTGGCGGGTGCGCGGGAGGAGGACTTGCGGAAGGCACGGTATGCATCCCACCCCATGCGACCCTCACGCTCGATCCGATTCCGGTCAGACAAAACGGCTCAAAAGCAAGAGCACATCCGAGTCCGTTGATCAAGCTATGCAGGCAGCTTCAAAGGTCAAGCTGGGCAGCGTTCCCCTTGCTCGAGCTTGTGGTCTGATGGCTAAAGCAAGAGCAAGGCACGCGAATCTGCTGCCAATGTGACAAGCGTCGCAACGTAGTCCCGCTGAAGATTCGACCGCCAGGCCTGGCAAGCCGTCGAACCAAGTCTCCGGACCCAGCGAAGCTGAAGCTGAAGCTGCCAAGGCGGCCGAGCCATGGACATGCTAGACCATTTTTCCATTTACGCAACTCGAGACTGTCGCAGATGTGCACATGTTTCGAGGGGAACCCTGTTCGGGCTTGTTTTTAAGGGAAAACCAAGCGGAGTTTTAGGGGCTCCAAGCCATTTCTAAGACACACACACACACACACACACACACCAATGTGTCACTGCACTTGCAGGTCGCTTCCGAAGCAACCGCTGAAACCGTTGCAGCGATTGTCTTTGAGGCCTGGGGCTGTCGCAGGGAACGGAAGGCGACCTGTTGCGTGTGCACGGGGGTGTTTTTGTCTTTGTTTTGTGCGGGTACCCTTTGGGGTTTGGTTTAAAGGCACACCAAAAGGGCAAACCTCCATCATAAGTTGTGGCGCCACAAATATCCTGGATATGCCGGATTCTGACAGGTAGTCCGCAACACTGAGACTGCAAGCGGGGAGAGGGCCACTAGTGCTCGTGCGGCTTTGGAGGAGAATGGATTCGCTGCTTGTCAGAAGGGCTCTTTGGTCCCCTGAGCACTCGCTTGATTTCGACACCGAGGCATTAGCCTTTTGGTTTGCACCAAGGTGGAAGGACCTGGCATACAAGACAGGCTGCTTGCATCTACCAGGCTGGGTTTCGATCAACGGAAACCGTGCCGCGGAGTCTGGTGACCTGAAGCCGGGCAGGTCCCCAAGTTCCAGCCGCTATTCGAGCTTCTATGGTCCTTTGGAGTCAGGAGAGCTTTCGCAGAGGTTACCAGGCAAGTTTCTATCAGTCGGCCTACGCAGTTGCGCGTGAGGACCCTCCTGTTCCCCTCCAGCGTCCATATACAAGTCAAGAGACGAAGGCACGTCGCTGGTGACAGGGATAGTTCACGCAGCTCGTGCGATGCCTTCTGACCAGGCTCGCTGGTGCTGCCTGACTTTGATGGACCCTCCGTGCCTTGTGGAAGGAAACCAGAACACGGCAGAGGGACGGGTCGTTGGAAGACTGGAGGATGGCTGGACTTGCCACCATGAATCTCAGGTCAGTCACGGAGACCACCTCACGGCAGCTGCTCGCAAGGTGACTTCGGTGGAGAGAGAGTGCGAAGGGCTTTGCTTGCACGAAAACAACACGAGCAGCTAGTCTGCGGGAGGAGATCGGCCCCGCATTTCCCACGAGGGCCCACCCAACTTTCTTATAACGCCTTTTTGGGCAAGCAGACGATTTTGCTTGTTGACGTGATTTTCCCATGTCCCCTTGCCGCAAGTCCTTTTGTTTGTTGCTCGCATCGTGCTTGTGCATTCTGTACGGGATTGTTTGCTTTGGTCTTGGTTGCCATTGCGGAAAGTGAGTGGGATGCCAGGCGAACACTCAGTTAACGGCCCTCGAGGGCGGGTTGCTGCGATTAGAGGCAGGAGTCTTATCCGCTTGCAGCTTCGCGAGTCAGTTGCTATGCCGTTCAGTGGTGTCCCAGGCAGCCCGTCAGGAGATGTCCCTTGGCGCGAAAGGGGTTGTGTGCTGAATGAATTAAAGCTTCTTTTTAGACATTATGCAATTGCAATACCGGTGCTACTCTTAATTCTCGCTATTGTATTTACCGCTACTTTTATTGGATTAGTGATGAAACAATTCCAAAGTCTGGGGAATGAGGTTGTGTTAGCAAGCGCTGGAGTTTCCCTTCAGGTCGATGTCATCGCCCGTTTTCCGTTGCAGTCGCACCGCAGCTCAGGCGACGAGCCAAGGCCCTTCATCCACTTCCTCGCATGCAAGCTGTCGGCTTCTCTGTGGGATAGGCGCCGGCCGAAACGGGGAGGGCTTCGGGGGTAGAAAGTCAATAGGACCCCCCCCTTAAAGAAAGAAAGGGTGGTTTTAGTTTTCCTTTTGGCTTCCCCCAACAAAAAGACACACATGTTGCTGCTTACAGACCGCGTGTCACCCAAGAGATGACTTGCCAGGGGATGGGGGTCGCTTCTGCGGTGTCTATCCTGATGTAGAGTCTCGTAGCGAGAACTCCAGCTCTTTTTTTTTTTAGGCGCCAGCAAGCCACCATGGCAAGAGTCATCAGACAACTCTTCTAGAGTTTCGAATGTGTGTTGGTTCTTATTTTTCCTCTTGCTATCGTGCCATGCTGGTGATCGTTTCATATTTTCAGCCATTATGAGCGTCGCGCGCTCCGCAAAGCGGACGGTCCAGGGAGGCGCTCCAGGACAACGTCTTTTCCACGCGGAATGTTTCACCTTGGCCTCTGTGTCAAGATGCTTCGTGCAGCCGATGTGGTCGCAAGCTCATAGGAAAACAATGCAGAGGAGATAGGACACAAGTGTGGGACGGATGACATCTGGGGGGATCATGCTGGGTCTTGTATAGCCAGGCGCACAAGCTTCAAGTAAGCCGTTCTGTTGACAATGGCAATCGAGGCGCCCCCTGTCTTTTCCCACATTGCAATGCATGTCGTCACACCATCACACCGGTTGGCCATTAGCTGAAGTGTCGCGGGCATCACGCAAAGTCTGGCAAAATGGCCAACAGAACCTGAACACGAGCGCTGCGCAACGTGAGCGCGAAACGAGCGACGGCGCGTATTTCACTTTGGCCCGTGCGACAGCCGGAAATGTGGCAACATTGGCGAATGTGTTGCTCTGGAGGGAGGGCAGCCTCGATGTTTCCGGGTCGCCCATGGATGTCAAGATACAGATACTGAGCAAATGCTTTGTCAGGACACGCGCAGTGGCTTCAGCGGAAGCCAACGCAGAAGAGTCGGCCGGCATTTAAGCAAGCCTGTCGTTTTCATCCTATCTATCAGCAAACTTGGGCACGCTCTGCCAGGTGTGTCACTGTGAGTCTGGGAGTTGAACCTATCAACGTATTGAGCTGTACTGCACTCATGCGGCAGCGCAAGCTGAAAGCACTGAAAGCACTCAGGAACCAACGGTATCTTGCAGCAGGGGCAGGGAGGAGGCAAGAGCAAACACCTGGCTGTCTCGACGCCGTTTTTTGGACTCGGACGTGGCATGTACAAGGTTTTTATACGCAGCTTCGGCTGTGAGTTCAGTTTTCCCGAATTAATTTCATTTCAGCCTCGTCACTAGAGCCATGGGCACACTGAGCCACTCATTGCCCGGCTGAAAGGGGCGAATGCCGCGATCCGCTAATTCGGCGCTCTCACAAGTCGAATGAAACGTTGGCTCTCAACTCTTGCCAACTCGGCCCCACACCATTCGGAGCTCCGAGCTTTACTTGGTCGCCCCCTTTGGTAAAGCGACATGGCCGCCTCGCATCTTGAGCTGGCAATACGGCGAAAACCGCGCAACATGAAGCAAGATCGCGCATGTTCTGCGGACCGCAGCCAATGTTGCAATGGCCTGGAATGTAGCAGGGCAACGTGACAACTACCAAAATTGCCGGAGTTGCTGGGCGAGCCGCCCGTGGCTAGGGCGCTCACGCTGGGCAATGACGCAATGCTCGGGACGACTGCAGGCCTCATGGCCCAGCCTTGGCACAGCTCGATCCGTTGCTTCGCGCCTGGGTGCTTCTTCAACTCCCGAGTTCACAGTCTCAGACTCGCACTTTTGGGCGGCGGCCCAGTTTCCGTCCCCCCGCAGTTTGTATGCTGGAGCCAGCCACCGCAGATCGGCAACCTCGATCCAGGGCATGTTTCCGTGTTCTCCTTGCCTCCCTGGCCCCGCCAGCTCGTTGTGCCTGGTGCTGCATTGGGGACAAATGCGCTTGTCCGCCTGTTCCAGCGCACCGTGGGCTGAAAGCTTTGCAAGCTTGCTCCTGCTCTTCTGCCGCGGTGCAACCATGTGCTCCATCCAGCCTGGTTGTCTCGCCTTGTTTCTCCTCCAGTGACAAGCCCCACACACGCTGCGCTGCGCGACGCCTGGTGCCGGCGGAGCCCCGAAGCGTGCAGCTTCTTAGCCCAGCAACGACGAACTTCGCCACCGTGCTCGCAACCTGCTGCCCCGTACCCTGTGCTGCCCTTTTGGGCCCCATCCTTGCCCGCTTTTTGCCGGGACGTCCTTCTAGCGAGCCTGCGCCGTGCCAAGAAAAACGCCGTCCCGGCACCATCCGGCCTCACTGCGAATCAGCACGGCTCGATAACGAGGGCAACTCAAACCAGTTTTGGAAGATCGCCCAGTTGCTCGCCAAGGCGGAGGTAAAACCGGAATTTGTGTTCGCTCTTGGTTTGGGTTGCTTGGACGGCAAAACCCGTTTCCAGTTCATGCGCATGTGTTCTACGCATCTGGGTTTGTGTGACGCCACCCACATCATCTCTGAAACTGAGGGTGGCGAACAGGGAGGCCGTGTCCGCCTGAACCACGACCGAGCCGCAGGTTAGAACAGTTTGTGAAGGCTCGCTCTCTCCCAGACGGCGAGCAACTGCCTTTCGCGCGCGGTGGTCAGCTATGCTTTCTTTTGCATGCCAGGGACGAAACTAGTGCTCTGTTCGCAGCTGCTCATATGGCGGTGCGCAGCCAAGGCGGCACAGACCACGGGGCAGCATGCAACCCATCAGCGCCGGCACGTGGCATCTTGTATGGTTTCCCTCGACTCCAAAGGCCGATTTGCCCGTGGCTTTTGGTTGCCGCCGCGTCCTCGCATCATTGAGCGTTCCGGACGTGCTGATGGAAAGAGACAGATGATGGGGTTACAGGGAGTTTGCCGTTCCTTCCCATCGATTCCCCCCATTCATCTCTATCTCTTTCTTACCTTCTCCCGGCCATTTCTAGAGACTCTTCTTCTTGGCTGGTCCCTTTGTCTCTTTCATCCACTTTTCCCAATGTCCTGCTTTTCATGGAATGAAGGGACACGCAGCCGGAAGTGCATCCTACAAGTGCTGCTTGGCCAAGTAAGGAGATGCAACTGCGCCTGTGCCCGGCCGAGCTTGTCGGGTTGAAGTTGGGGGGCCGTTAGAGTGTCGAGGCCGCGGAGTTCGTGCGCTTTCTGGTCCTAGCAGCTCGTGAACGTATGTTGGTCTGGTTCGCTCGCCGCAGGCTCTTGGAGTGCATTCGCAAAGAACCTGGCTTGTTTGCCGTCGCCCACTAGTGACTTTCCAGCGGGCGCCAAGGATGCTTGTGCCACAGCTTTGCTTTTGCTCTTTGCTTTGCCCAGACGTGTCAGAGACTGAGGCTTTACAAGGACTAAGGAAAGGAAGGGCGTTTAATCGACGTGGCATAGCTGACGCATTGGCTCGAATGCCGAAGCGTGTCTGTCCTCCTACTCGGCATGTTAACATCCTACGGCGAAAAATCTCCCGCAGCAGTGAAGCTCAGCGCCAGAACGGATTCGAATCATGACGCCTCGTGTGGCGCGAGTTCCACTTGGAACATTATTTCAAAGCGCTCACTCGGAGACGCAGTTTGCTCTCGAGACGGGCGACCTCTGCAGTTAGGCCCGAAGGTCCTGGCGCTGCACCCTTTCTAGCACGCCTTAAGTTAGCAAGCACAACTTCAGGCAGGAGGTGGGCGGGCTCGTCTGGTTGGAACTCGAGGACGGGCGGGTCAAGCGCCTGGTACGGTTGCGCCGGGCGCCGGGCCGGATCCCGAAGCTCCGCCAAGGTCTCAGGTGCGTGGGGCAAGCGGGGTGGCAGTGAGCGCCTGCCGCGCAGCCGACAGCTCGCCAAGGTGGACGAGGCCGTGCACTTTGTGCTGAGCGGGCTGGGTTGTCGCCGGGGGAAGGGTTGCCTGGATGGCCTGCACCAGTTTGAGTTGCTTAGCGTAGCAGCGTTTTTTTTGCTGCCTGCGTGGAATGCAGCAAATCGCTCGTCCCAATCTCGTTTGGGCAATTTCCTCGTTCCAGGTTCCCTGTGCAACAACATCCCGGGCAGCAAGAACCACAGTTTCCAAGCACGCATGATGGCTGCGACCCTCGTTGTCAGCAGCCTCAAGCACAGCTGACAGCGCAGTGGTCAAGCACTGGCGGACAGGCCCACGAGCAAACGGCGGGACGAACTGGAACGTACGCTTTGCGCTGCAGAGTGGTGGTTAAGTCTACAGAGTCGAGTGCCTGCAAGGTAAGTTGGAACTGCCGATGGACTTGTCTGGGGGGCTGGCTGCTTGCTGTGCGGTCAGGTTGGTCAGGGGCACCCGCACGTGTTGCAGCTGGCGCGTTGGCATCATTCTTTGATGGGTTGCCCTGACGGCTCCGACTACGCCGCCCGGGCGCTGTTGCTGGCGCGGCCGTTGTTAGTGCTGCTGCTGCTGCTGCTGCTGCTCCTGCTGCTGCGTCTCTGCCCCCATCCTGGACGGCCCCAGTGCCAGGGCGCGCGTTGCGTGCGACGGGCGCTACGGCTGTTGCTGATGCGGCTGCGCTCGTGTCAGCGGCATCCCGAGGCGCCGGCAGTTGAGAAGCCGGATTTGGGTGGCAGGCCGGGGTGGGGGAGTGTGTGCACGCCTTCTGTCATCACGCGTTGTGCGGCGGCGACTTGGCAGGGAGTGATACGGAGGCTGCCTGGAGCACACTGGGCAAGGCCAACTCAGCAGCGGTGAGCTGGCGCCTGGCTGGCTCTGGCTCTGGCTCTGGCATGGGCTCTGGCTGTGGCTCTGCCTCTGGCTTTGGGCTGCCTCTGCTCTGGGCTCTGGCTCTGGGATGCGGCCACGGCTTGGTGGACCTGAGCAGCGTGCAAAATGGCCTGGATGTGGATGCCGGCTGCGCATTGGAGGCTAAAAAGCACTTCGCGCCAAACCTGCCCAAAGTGAGCGTGCGCCTCCCACTGGTGCAGCGCTACTGAGCAAGTTCCCTACAGCAGCTTGAAGCAAGGGGACAAACAACTGTTCGCGCCAGCTGGCATGTG